TGTAGCCTCTTGTGGGTAACTGGCTAATGGAAAGTATGACACATGCACCAATAATACAAAGTGAAGCAGGAAGGACAGAGAGGACATGTGAGGAATAGAATATAAAAAGGGCAAAAGGTACTGAGGTGGGAGAGCAGAAGACACACGATACAGGGGCAGAGAATAGGCAAGTTTGGCCAGGTGGTAAAATGTGTGGAGAATAAGAGGATGTCAGGCCAGAATGGTTTCTGATTGTGGAGGACAATTCAATGCCAGACAAAGGAACTGACACTTTGGTCCCTAGTCAATAGCTCACCCAGAAATGACTTTCTAGCCCACTGGGAAACAGGCAGAAAAAGCACCTCTACACCATCCTTGAAAAGGAACCATCCAGCATTTGCTTGAATACTTATTGGGAGAAGAGAACCTATTGCCTCTAGATGCAATCCATTTCACCTTTGGATAGCTCTAATTGTGAAGAAACATTTTTCTTTGATTGAGCTGAAATCTGCCTCTGCCACTTTTCCCACTGCTCTTAGTTCTGACCCTCTTGGCTTGAGGCCAAGGATATCTTCTCATTTCTTTCCTACAGGAGAGTCCTTCAAATATTTGAGGATACCCAGCTTCCCCCTGACGCAAATTTCTTTTTCTCCAGGCAAAATTTAATTCAACTCAAATATTTTTCACATTTATTGACTTTTTTTTCCGGACATTTCTTTTATTTTTAATTTTTTTAGGGCAGGTAGGTGGCGCAGTAGATAGAGCACCAGCCCTGAAGTCAGGAGGACCTGAGTTCAAATGTGACCTCAGACCAAACACTAACACTTACTAACTGTGTGACCCTGGGCAAGTCACTTAACCCCAATTGCCTAAAAGAAATAAATAAATAAAATTTTTATTTGTTTTATTTTTAACTTATGGGATAAAATAAACATTTCCATAACAAATATAATAAAAAAAAGATAATTGCACATGAAACTACAAATCTATTATGTGTAATATGCTATTCCTTTTAAATATATAATAGTTATCATGTAAATTTCTTTTTCTTTTTTTCTTCCCTCCCCTCCAACCTAGAGAAGGCTACCATTAGACACAAATATGTATTGTGCTAGCTGAAAGATTACAACAATATATTACAAGTGCAATTTATACCAGTATTGCAGGAATGGTTTAAGGAAAAGTATTAACATGATGGATTATATCAATAATAAAAGTTCAAAAAATCATATGATTATATCAATAGACGCAGAAAAAGCTTTTGATAAAGTTTAACATTCAAATCTATTAAAAACACTTGGAAGTATAGGTATAAATGGATTTTTCCTTAAATTGATGGAGTGTATTTACCTAAAACCACCAACAAACATTACTTGTTATAGGGATAAGTTAGAAGCCTTCCAGTAAGATCACATGTGAAACAAGGATGCCCACTATCATCATATTATTCAATATTATCTTGGAAATCCTAGCAATAGAAATAATAGAAGAAAAAGAAATAGAAGGAATCATAATAGGGAATGAGGTAATAAAACTATCTTTTTTCAGACAAAATGATGATATACTTGGAAAATCCCTAAGACTCAACTAACAAGGTAGTTGAAAGAATAATTTAGCAAAGTAGCAAGATATAAAGTAAATCTACGTAAACCAGCAATATTTCTATATGTCACATGCAAAACTATGCAAGAAGATATAGTAATAGATACCCCATTTAAAATAACTCTAGACAATATAAAATACCTGAAAGTACACCTGTCAAAACAAACTCAGGAACTATATAAACAAAATTATTTTTTAAAAAACCTTTTATACAGATAAAATTTAGACTTAAATAATTGGGGAAATATTAGTTGTTTATGGGTAGACAAGGCCAATGTAATAAACGTGACAATTTTACCCAAACTAATTTGTATTTTCATTCACATTTAGCAAGCATTTATTTAGTGCTTTTTACTTGTCAGACATTGTGCTAAGCACTGGCATTACAAATACAAACAGAAAAACAGTTCCATCCCCCAAGGGGCTTTCATTCTATTTGTTACTCCCTATTCTGTATAAAGTCCCATGTGGAAGTATTTGCAAGGTTCCATGCTGGCCTGAGGATAGGAAGACTGAATTTTGCCAGTTTCTGAATCTCTGGGCTCTTTACCAACCCAGTCATTCTCTGAATGCTTTTTCGCTTGGCCACGGCCTTCCTGAAATACAGCACCCAGATCCAATGATGATGCTCTAAGACATTGTCTGAGCCAGACGCCTCTCAATGACCCAATCCCTTTCTATCCGCTGGGCACAATGCTGCTCAATGCAGCCTGGTTCCATCCCATCCACTCTATCTTGTGCCCTCTATCCCATGCAATCCTTTCTAGCTACTTTATCTCCTCAATTTTGTAATGTTCATGGCACTTCTTCTAGTCTGTCCCATCCACACACACCCATTTCCTCTACCCTACTCCATTCACCCCTCCTCACTGAGCCCACTCTGGTTGTGACAGAACGTAATGAACTGTTCCACCTCTGCCCCCTTAGGTCTCATCCAGCACAAGACAACTAGGGTGACTAGAACAGTTGTTCAGGCCCAGGAACTATGCAAACCATGATTTCTATCTGATCTCTGGCATTATGCTGACTAGAAGAGACTTTCTGCCCCCTTCCGCAGGGTTTAGGGACCCAGAAAGAGAAAGAGCCAGAGTTAGCTGAGGGTGGTTGGGGGATGGGGAGAGTGGAGAAGGAAGAGTGAGGCTAAGGATAGAAGCCAGACTTAACCTCCTCACCTGTGCTAAGCTGAGTTGAGCTAAGCTGAGGGACAAGGCAGAATACCTGTGGTTGCTGACTTGTATGCAGTGTCTCTTTTAAGTTTTGTCACATGGTAGGAGGATTTCTCCTAGATGTTATCTGAGCTGGGAGCCAGTCATGGTATGGGAAACAGATCTCTTCTCCACCATTTCACTTCGGTCTCCTCCATCCATTCCCCAAGACCTCCTCCTTTCCTCCAGGCAAGTCATGAGCAAACATATTTATTCTTAAAAGTGAGATTCCCCCAGGAAAGACCACAGGTCTCTCCAGTTTCCACTCCACCTTCTAAAATCTGCTCCATACCTCCTTTGGTGTCAGTATGATGTAACCCAGACTACTCCCACCCCAATACACAAACCCATTCACATTCCCTCCAGGGCTTATGTCCTGTGACTTTTTTTTTTTTTTGTGTAACCCCAGCCTTTAGCAGGGTGCCTGGCATATATTGAGTGCTTAAAAAATTGTTGATGATTTACTCAACTAGACTCCTGCTCCAAATCTAGCCCTCTTTCCATTATAACCTGTTGCCTTCCAAACTTAGAGGATATTTCACAAAGAAAAAGATAGACTAGTCATGTATCAAGTGAAGACCTTTTATTTTTGGTCCGAAACTATGATTTCATCTGTTTATGGAATGACTGATATGGAAATGCCCTCTACTAATGCAGTTACCTTTGAGAGTGGCTTGGGGCAATGAGGGATTAAATGACTTGCCCATGGTCACATAGGTGTTGTGTGTTAGAGGCAGGACTTTCTGAGCCCACTGGCCACTACATCATGCTGCCTCTTAGATCCTTTATCATTACATTTTGACTTCTTACTCTTAGAGTTTTGACTCTAACACTAGCCTACCAACCCTCTCAGTTTCAGGCTCAATGCTGGGACAAAATGAGGCACTTGCCAGTCACTGAATATTTAACACTACACATGTAAAAACATTTGCCCTAACATAGCAAGGATATGCAACAAGAACACAGTAGCACTTGGCTCCTCGGGACACAGTCTCCTTTGTCACCTCTGGAATTGCATTTGATCAGTCAGTTGCCAGGATATGGTGACTCACATAGTTTCAGGCACCCACCAAGTCTGAGAGGTGCTGACTACACATAGCTGGGACCTTTTGTGCCCCAAGACTAGGAAGTTGGCTCAGGGAAGCCAGGCCAATCAGGATTTGTGGAGGGGAGGAAGCGAGGTTGAGAAATTGGGGAAGCTGCCTCAGGAAACTGATGTCATAGCACACTTACAAAGGAAAGACTGGGACCTAAAAGGGAACATGAACGGACCAGAGCATGGGCAGGCAGGTGTATCAAGAGATGGACAAAACCAGAGCCATCACTGGGAGATAAGGTGTTCTGGTCTTAGGGTCACCATAGAAAGAAGGAAGGTGGGAGAGGGATCAGTAATTGTTTTTAGGAGTGGCATATCCAGCTCCACTGAGTTCTCCTCCTTATTTTCCTCCCCCCCTCCTGAGTCACAGGTATATTCACAGGAAGGTAGCTTCCTGAGCAGTCAAAGGTCAGGAGGTTTATGGAACTATCTTTCCCCTGGTGACTGTTATGAGTTTCCCTTCTCTGAAATCACAGGTAGAGAGATGCTAGGTATAACCTAGAAGTACTAACCACAGATGCTGGGGCACTAATCCCTCTCCATCCTGTACCAAGCATGTGGTTGAATTGGCTTCAGTTCTGTGCAACTTTGGCCTCTGGCAAGAGGAGATTTCCTTTTTTTTCACATGCATTGGCTGGCTAACAAATCTCTACCCTGAAGGTCAAAGAAAATGAGATTATCTCTTACAAGTCTCAGTTTCCTCCAAAAGGAGAAAATAACAAAGGTATTTAAAGTACAATATGAATCAGGAATGGGACAAGTAGTTTATTCCTACTCACAAAAAGAAATGTTAAATATAGACAAACCATAATATACTTTAACAATGGGATTAGAACAGACTTCAGTAACTTATCCTTACACACACAATAGACTAGGAGGCTAATATTTAAATCTTATCAAAGCATAAGGCAGTTTTTGTTTTTATTGTTCATTTTCTTGACTCTTGAGACCCCATTTGGGGTTTTCTTGGTAGAGATACTGGAGTATTTCCTTCTGCATCTCATTTTATGGATGAGAAACTGAGGCAAGCAGTGTTAAGTGACTTGCTTAGGACCACACAGCTAGTAAATGTCTGAGGCCAGTTTTTAACTCACAAAGATGACCCTTCCTAACTTCAGAGCCACACTCTATCCACTGAGCCACCTAGCTGTCCTGTAAGGCAGTTTACAATACATTAAGCAAGCACTTTACATTTTACCTCTGACATTGTCAGATCATATGCCCAGCTTGGGTCAGGCATCTTTCTGGGGGCATCTTCTCTGATGCAGAAATGGTCCCTTTTGACATCCAATTGCTCACTGGAACTTAGGAATTTCAGACCTTTCAAATCACAAGGTCCCAGCCAGTCCTTGACAAATCCAGAAGGGAGGAACTTATTTGACAAAGTCAGGACAACATAAACAAACAAGAGTCAGAAGTGGCCATGTGATCACAGATACATGGTGGCTGGGTGGAAAACAGGGCAATCATCCTTTCCCCAACCTGATTCTCCTATTGCAGCATTAAAGAGACCTCAAGTTTCAAGGCTAGAACGGAAGAGAGAATCAGGGAGGTTAGTAGCTTGATTTTTGTACATTTGATGAGGCATCATCTGTTCTGGCTCAGCAGTCATCTACCATGGTGAATCCTTCAGAGATCAGTCATCCATGGCTGGATGCAGCAATGCCCCAAGCTTCCATGTAGTCACCTAGAAACAAGAGTAAATAGTGAATGTGATACCGGGGCGGGGAGGAGAGTCAAAGGGCCCCTGTTCCTTAGGTATTGACTAATGAGAGGAAAGTATCTAAATTAAATAGGAAGCACAAGCATGGTGTATAAAAGTTGTCAGGAGTAGGAAGAAAAGAGAAGTGCTAGGGAGGAGGAGGAAACATGACAGTTGTTCAGAGTGAAGTATCATCCTCATCTCCTAAGCCTCTCTCACCTCACACAGCCTATGTGTTGGTGGCTGGTGATTGTGACATCTCTAAATTTTAGCTAGAACTTGAAGGAAGCCAGGGAAGGCAGGAGGCTAAGGTGAGGAGAGAGAGAGAATTCCAGGCATGGAGGACAGTCAGTGGAAATGCCCAGTGTCAGGAGATGGAGTGAAGAGTGCAAGGAACAGCCAGGACACCAGGTTCATAGTATTTCAGAGGACATGGAGGAAAGTAAGGTAAAAGAAGATTGGAAAGGAGGAAAGTCAAGTTTGGAAGGGCTTTCAAAGCCAAACAGAGAATTGTATGTTTGATGCTGAAGGTAATATGGAGCCACTAGAATTTATTGAATTTGGTGACTTATATGTTTTAGAGTAGCATGATAAGAGACCTAAAGCAGGGAGATTCACTAGCAGGCATTTGTAAGAGTCCAGGTGTGAGGTGATAAAGACCTGTCCCAGGTGGTAAGAGTGTCAGAAAGAAGGAACCATATATAAGAGATGTTACAAAGGTAAAATTGAAAGGCCTTAGCAAGAGATTGGATATGGGGGAAGGGTCAGAGAGAGTGAGGAGTTAAGGATGACCCCTAGGTTGTTAACCTGGCTGCCTAGAAAGACAGTGGTACCCTCAAATGGAGAAGGAGGTTAGGAAAAAGGAGTATTTGGGGCGATTAGTTCAGTTTTCAGCATATTGATCTTAAGATGTCTATGAGACATTGGTTTTGAGATGGCTAATGGGCTATTGCAGATGTAAGACTGGAGATCAGGAGAGAGGTTAGGACTGGACAAATAGATAGAATTACCAGCATAGAGATGATATTTTAATCCATGTGAGATGATCAGATCACTGAATAAAATAGTGTAAAGGAAGAAGAGAAGGCCCACAACAGAACCCTGTGGGACACTCATGGTTAGTAGACATGGCCTGAATGAAGATCCACTGAAGGTGATTGGTCAGATATGGAGTTGGAGAACCGAGATAGAGCAGTATCACAAAAATCTAGAGAAAAGAGGGTATTAAGCAAAAGAAAGGCTGCAGTGGATAGAACACTGGGCTTGGAATCAGGAAGACTCATGGAATCAGGAAGACTCATAGAATCAGGAAGACTCATTTTCTTTCTTTTTTTTTTAAGGCAATTGGGGTTAAGTGACTTGCCCAGGGTCACATAGCTAGTAAGTATCAGGTGTTTGATCTGAGGGCGGATTTGAACTGAGGTCCTCCTGACTTCAGGGCTGGTACTCTATCCACTGCGCCACATAGCTGCCACCTAAGGAAGACTCATTTTCATGAGTTCAAATCGTACCTCAGACACTACCTGTGTGACCCTGGACAAGTCACTCAATCCTGTTTGCCTCAGTTTCCTCATTAGTAAATATGAGCGGGAGAAGGAAATGGCAAATCATTCTAGTATCTTTGCCAAGAAAACTCCAAAACAGGGGTCACAAAGAGTTGGAAACAATTGACTCATAACAGGCAAAAGAAAAGGCATCAATAGTATCAAAGGCTGCAGAGAGATCAAGAAAGATGAAGTCTGATAAAAGGTCATTATGACAATTAGAAAATTGTTAGTAATTTTGTTAGTAATTGTTAGTAATTTTGAAGAATTTTTTAGAATGATGAGCTGAGAAGCCAGACTGTAGAGAGTTAGGAAGAGGGAGAAGAAAGGAAGTAGGCACCTATTGTAGATGCCTTGTCAAGGAGTTTAGTCACAAAAAGGAAGAGAGCTATGACAAAAGCTAGCAGAAATGGATGGATCGATTGGTGTTTTTTGAGAATGGAGGAAACATGTTTATGTTCATAGGCCAAAAGGAATCAGCAAGCAGAGATTGAAGATAAGTGGGAAAGTGGGGGCGATAAAGGGGAAAATGTGCTAGAGGAGGCAGGATGGAATAGGACCACTTGTACATGTAGAAGGGTTTGCCTTGGCAAGGAGAGCCACTTCTTTGTATGAGACAGGGGCAAAGGACGAGATAGTGGCAGGAGGCACCTGAGTGATGTAAGATAAAAAAGAGGGGAGAAGAGAAATCTCTTAGCAATTTTGTAAAAAGACATATCTCTCAAATTTTTAGTTAAATATGAGGCTAGGTTTTCAGCTGAGAGGGTGGGGGTAGGGTTAGTCATGGGAGGCCCATGGAGGGATGAAAAGGTTCTGAAGAGCCACTGTGGTGAAGGGGATAGTGAAATAATTGGGAAAGTTTAAAAGGATTGCCTTGCAGCAGTAAGAGCCCCAGTGGAGACAATGTAACACAAATTTATAGTGGAGCCAGTCAGCATGGCTTTGTGATTTTGTCCAGCTTCTGTCAGCTGCAGGTGTGTAGGAGCAAAGGTATAAGACAGTGGGAGTGATCCTAAGCTGAGGATTTGCAAGGCAAGTTAGGAAATAAGGTAAGGAGACAAAGGACTCAAAAGAAGAGGAAAAGAAGAGGAACTGGTCTCCCAAGGAGTCAGAATAGGGAAGGGAAGAGTGCAGCTAGTGTAGGAATGATGGCCTGGGCAAGAACTGAGGAGCTGATGGATGGAGGTGATAGTGAGAATGAAGAACAGAGTTTCAGGTTGCAAGGAAGAAAACCTAATATGAAATCCTCTGTTTGGTATTCAAAGCCCTTTATAACCTGTTACTCTATTTCCAATCTTCTTAATTTATGCCCTCTACCCCACGTACACAGTGATCCAGTGATACTGACCTTGCTCTTCCTTGAACAAGACACTCCATCTCCCAACTCCAGGGATTTTCACTGGCTGCCCTTCATGTCTGGAATTCGCTCTCTTCTCATCTTAGCTACCCAACTTTTCTGGCTTCCTTCAAGTGCCAGCTAAAATCACACCTCCTATGAAAGCACATTCTTCCTGCCCCTTAATTCTAGTGACTTTCCTGCACTGATTATCTCCCTATATGTCACTTGTTTGTGCACAATGGTTTGCGTGTTACCTCCCCACTTCCTGAGACAAGGACTATCTTTTGCTATTATTTGTATCTCGAAGGCTTAGCAGAGACCTGGCACATATTAGGTGCTTAACAAATATTTACTGAGTGGCTGACCACCATGAGCTATAAAACTTGACCCATAGGGAGGCAATGCAGATAGTGAATGACAAATAGTGTTAGAGCTGACTATCCAGGGCTTTAAGCAGATCAAGGACTGGGGAGCCTCACAGATGAAGGTGGTCCCCAGCCTCTAGCCTGGAAAGGGAAGATAAATGGGTTTCATCTGCCAAACAACCCTACCCTCAACTCCCACTACAACTCAGAGACCTGGACATGGCATCTGCCTCCTTGATCTCACTCAGGAACAAGAAAAGGAAACAAACTTGTGTACTGGATCAGGTTGATTTATCTCAGTGATTAAGCATGTTTAAGAAGAGGATGCATAGAAAAAAGAAGAGAGGAATGAGGAAAGAGAGGGGGAAAGAGTGAAATGTATAGAGGGAAATAGAAAAGAGAGACACCAGAAGGAAGCAGAGAAGGAGATGAGAGGGAGATGGAAGGGAGGAGAGGGGACAAAGGGCCTAGGGAAAATGGGAGGAAAGGAAAGTGGGAAGAAGAGAGGCAAAGGGACCTCTCTTTGACCTCCTTCTACTCTCCTCTTCCCAAACCCCTCTGAGGTAAGTCTACAGTCTTCCTCAGCTTATTCAATGCCCCCAAGCCTCCCACTGACCTTCTTGTGGTGATTCTTCCCCTTCCCTTCCACCCTTTTTCACTCTTACACCAACCTTCCTCCACCCCCACTAATCATGTGTTCCCTAGGCTTAATTTGGTCTCTCATCAGCTGTGTGTGGGGATAATCACCTGTAATTAAGTCAAATGTACGTCCTACCTGAAATTACCTTATTATCATCTCAGGGACCTGGCAAGGTGTGGTGACATTCTTGATATGTATGGTTTCATAATAAATATGATTTCCATTACAACCAGAACACCCTTTAAAATTACCAGCGTAAAAACTGTCCCTATAAATTTCCAGTCTTGCCAAACGGATAGTTCTCTATAAAGAAATCCTGTAAGCCAAAAAAGACCCATGAGCTGATGTTAAAGAGAAACAAGATGACCCTTCCTAGATCTTTCCCAGGGAAAGAGGGCTGAGAATATCTGTTTCTGGCCCCTTGGCAACCCTTGGGCCCTCTGAATCCACTCCTAATCCCTCCCTGGGTTCTAGACATGAGTTCTTATGCACAACACTCTATTTGAATTAATCCAGACTTAGTAGGGTCCCAGTGCTCCATACTTTAGATAAGTGCATAGAAAAGGGTGGGGGAACACTGAGCTCAGGGCTATACAGGGACTAGGTCACACTGGATGATCAAGACTGCGTGAAGACCAGGAGATTTGGATCAGTTTTAAAAAAGAGAGAAGGAAAAAAATTCAGGATCAGGAAACACTTAGAAGGATGCCTACACATAGAATGGGGGACTGGAACCAAATCAGAGTTCAGACAGTACATGAACTGAGGGGTACATAGGACTGAAATGTTCAGAGTTGGGGGTGGATGGGGCAAATACAGACCAGGGCTACACTGAGGGGTCAGGATGGCACAAAGACTAGTGGACCCTCAGGATCTGGGCTGCTTAGGGACTGCCCAGCTAGAGCTTTATTATCATCCCATGATTCCATCACTTTGCTATGCTACTTATACCCTTCTTACCTCTGCATTTATGCCGCCTCCACAGGTAATAAAGGGCCACTTCAGCTTCAAATGCACAAGTCACAATCAGGATCTCATTGATCTTACGCAGCCAGGGAAATGACCTGAGAAAATATACTGAAAGAAGCCCCTATATGAAGCATTCTGGCAAGATGGCAGAGAAATTTCCAGGCTCTTCAAATTTCCTCCACAAACAGACAGAACATCACCACAAAATAAAGGCAGAGCAGCAAAAATAAAGGGATAAAGCAGTTGCCTTACTAAGACAACTTGAGAGCACCTTAGGAAAGACAGGACCTCCAGAGGCTGAGGCTTGGCCAACTCTGCTGAATCAACAAACAGCAGGCCCTGGGGGCAACCCATTCAAGAAGCAGACTAGGCCTCCACAAATTTCACCTTACAAACTTTCACCTCACAGACTTTCATCTAACGAACAGCTTGGGGAATCAGATGGCTAAGTGGGGCAAGAGTGAAGGACCCATGCTGTTTCCGGACACCAGGCCTTGCAGTGCTGACCAGAAGTGATGCTGGACTGTGACTGTGTGCAAGCAGGAGCAAGCATATGCCAGTGAGTGAGGTACCATAGGAAGCAAGAACATTGTCAGGATGTGACTGGGGGCCCTAACTGTGGCTTAGGGGAGGAAAGGAATGCCTGAGGTTGAACCTCTGGACAGAATTCAGAAAATAACAGTAAGGAAGACCTCAGGTCTGGAGCACAATTACCCACAAGTCAGGATTAACCACTGATTACAATAATAAGCTGCTAAAAATAAAATAAAACAGAATAAAAATAAAGTTGATTAAACAAAGGAAAAAGAGTTCCACCATAGATAGCTATTATGTTATAAAAGAAGACCTGGGTTCTTATTCAGAGGAAGATAGTGAGGTTTAAAAAAAGCCATTCCTACCCCAAAGAGTTACATCAAATGGTCACAAGCCCCAAAAGAGTATTTGGAAGAGCTTAAAAAAGGCCTTCAAAAATCAAAGAGAGATTGATGAAAATTAGGGGGAAAAAAAGCAATCCAAGAAAATTATGAAAAAAGTTAACCAATTGGAAAAAGAGGTCCAAAATCTTAAAGAAGAAAATAACTCCTCGAAAACTAGAATTGTGCAAAGGGAATCAAATGACATTATAAGACACCAAAAGATACTGAAACTGGGGTGGGGGGGAGAGTCCCAGAAGAGAATTTTAAACATCTTATTAGAAAAACAAATGATCTGGAGAATAGATTGAGGAGAAACAGTAAAAGGATTGTAGGACTACCTTAAAGTATGATAAAAAAAAGTCTTGATATAATATTATAAGAAATTATCAAAGAAAAATGCCCTGACATTCTAGAAAAAGAGGGTAAAGTAAAAATGGAGGGCGGGGGGAATCTACTGTTCACGACCTGAAAGAGATTCTAGGAAGAAAAATTACAGGAATGTCATGGTCAAGTTTCAAAACTCCCAGATTAAGGATAAAACATTACAAGCAGCAAGAAAAAAATAATTTAAATACTGTGGAAACACAGTCAGGATCTCACAAGATCTCACAGCTTCTACACTAAAAGACCACAGGTCTTAGAATATTGTATTTTGAAGAGCAAAAGAGCTAAAGTTATCACCAAGAATAACTTACTTAGCAAAGTTGATTATAGTCCTGAATGGGGAAAAAAATGAACATTTGATGAACTGAAAGATTTTCAGGTATTTCTGACAAAAAGACCAGAACTAAATGGAAAAATTGATATATAAGATCCAAAAGAAACGTAAGGGAAATATTAAAGACTAATTATAAAGGACTCATTAAGGTCAAACTGTTTACTTCTAATATAGGAAAATGTTATCAGTATTCTTAAGATTGTCATCATTACTAGGGTAGTTTGAAAGAAAGGTTGGGGATGGATTGAGTATTAAAGAGTGATTTTAAAAAACAAAATTGGGAAGGCAAAGGCAAGAAAAGCAATTATCTCATACAAATGGGGTATGAAAGGAAGAACTGACACAGAGGATGCAGTTTGAAGTGGAGGGCTAGTAGTGCTGGAATTTTACTCTCATTAGATCTGAGTTAAAGAAGGAATAACATATGTATCTAAAAGAGTATAAAAGTTTTCTAAACTTACAAAGAAATAAGAAGCCTAGGGGACAGGATAAAGAAGAGACTTTTAGAAGTCTGTAGATTAAGACTGAGGAGTGTGGTGGGTAAGAATAAGGGAAGGATCCTTAGAAGTTTAGGTAAAATAAAAAATAGGAGAATAAAGGGAGAGAATAAGATAACAGGGATAGGGTAAAAAGAGAAGATGAGAAGGACAATAGTGAGCAAAAATAGGATGGAGGGAAATTCACAAATAATATAACTTTCAATATGAATTGATGAACTCACCCATAAAATGGAAACAGACAGCAGAATGGATTGGAAATCAGAATCCAACAATATGTTGTTTGCAGGAAACACATTTAAGAATGAGAGATACACAGAGAGTTAAAATGGAGGGACGGAGTAGAATTTATTATGCTTTAGTTGATGCAAAAAAAGCAGCAGTAGCAATTATGATCTCAGACAAAGTTATGGCTAAAATAAATTTCATTAAAAGAGATAAACAGGGTAACTATATTTTGATAAAAATTACCATAGACATGAAACAATATTAATACTGAACCTATAGCCTCCAAATACTATAACAGCTAAATTGTTAAACGAAAAGTTAAATGAATTACAGGTAGAGATAGATAGTAGTACCATAATAGTGGTGGAGTAAAATCTTCCCCTTTCAGAACTAGATAAATCTAACCAAAAAAAATGAGTATGAAGTCAAGGAATTGAGTAGAATTTTAGATAAGCTAGATATGATAGATATCTGGAGAGGACTTAATGGAAATAGAAAAAAAATACACCTTTTTCTCAACAATCCATGATACCTTTAAAACATTGACCACATATTTGGACATAAAAATTGTATAGTTAAAAGCAAAAAAAGCAGAAATGTTAGAAGTGTCCTTTTTAGATCCCAATGGAGGCTAAACAAGTTAATCTTAAAGGATGAGTGGGTTAAAGAATAAATCATAGAAACAATAATTTCATTAAAGAGAATGGAAATAAAGGGACAACATATCAAAACCTAGGGGATGCAGCAAAAGCAGTGATTAAAAGAAAATTTATATCTCTAAATGCCTACATCAATAAAATAGAGAAAGAGCAGACCAATGAATTGGGTATGCAATTTTTAAAAACTAGAAAAAGAACAAACTAAAAATCCCCAATTAAACACTAAATTAGAAATCCTAAACATTAAAGGTGAGATTAATAAAATTGAGTGTAAAAACATTAAATTAATAAATAAAACTAGGAGTTAGTTTATGAGAAAACTATAAAATAGATAAAACATTTTTAATTTGATGAAAAAAAGAAAACCAAATCACTGGAATTAAAAATGAAAAAGGTGAATATACTACTAACAAAGATGCAATTAAGGCAGTTATAAGGAGTTATTTTACCCAATTATACACCAATAAATTTAGCCATTTAAGTGAAATGCAAGAATATTTACAAAAATTAAACTTGCCTAAGTTAGCAGAAATAGAATGTGTACCAAGACCTATTTTGGAAAAATAAATTGAACAGGCCATAAATGAGCTTCCAAAGAAAAAAGCCTCAGAACCCAACAGATTTACAAGTGAATTCTATCAACCATTTGAAGATCAACTACTTCTAATATTAAAGAAATTATTTTGAATAATAAGCAAAGAAGGGATCCTACAACTCCTTTTATGAAGCAAATATGATACTGATACCTAATCCAGCAAGAATAAAAACAGAGAAAGAAAATTATAGAGCAATTTTATTAACGAATATGGTTGCAAAAATCCTAAATAAAATACTAGCTAAAAGATTACAACAATATATGACACAGTTACACATTATGACCAAGTAGGATTTATACCAGGAATGCAGGGATAGTTCAAGGAAAACCAGTAATATAATTGATTATATTGATAATAAAAAAATTTTTGAATCATATGAGTATATCAATAGACGCAGAAAAAGCTTTTGATAAAGTACGATACTAAGTTCTATTAAAAACACTTGAAAGCATAGGTATAAGTGGATTTTTCCTAAATTGATGAAAATCTTTTATCTAAAACCAACAGCAAACATTATTTGTAATGGAGATAAGCTAGAAGCCTTCCCAGTAAGATCAGATGTGAAACAAGGATGCTCATCATCACCAATATAATTCAATATCGTATTGGAAATCCTAGCAAAAGTGATAAAGGAAGAAAAAGAAACAGAATCAGGATAGGGAATGAGGTGACAAAAATGTATCTTTTGGCATATGATATGATGACATACTTGGAAAATCCTGAAGACTCAGCTAAAAAGTTAGTTGAAACAATTAATAATTTGAGCAAAGTAGCAGGATATAAAGCCACGTAAATCCTTAGCATTCCTATATATCACAAACAAAACCCTGCAAAAAGAGATGGTAAGATATACTATAGACATTATAAAATACCCGAAAGTATACCTGTCAAAACAAACCCAGGAGCTACATTTAAAAAATTATAAAATAATTTTATAAAAATGGAATTAGATTTTAAAAATTGGAGAAATATTAATTGTTCATGGGTAGGCAAGGCCAATACAATAAGAATGACAATTTCACCTAAACTAATTTATACATTTAATGGCATCACAATTAAATTTTTAAAAATTATATTACTGTATGAGAAAAACTAATAACAAAATTCATTTGGAATAACAAAAAGTCAAGAATATCAAAGGAAACAATGGAAAAAACAGTGTAAAAGAAAGAGGTTTAGCAGTATCTGATTTTAAACTACATTACAAGGCAGTAATTATCTAAACTAACTGGTACTGGCTAAGAAATAGGAAGCTAGATCAATGGAACAGAGTAGACATAAAATTTACAGCAGCAAATACATATAGTAACCTTGTATGTGACAAGCATAAAGACTTAAGATTTTGGGATAAAAATTCATTATTTGGTAAAAAAAATCCTTAGGAAATCTGGAAAGCAGTACGGTAGAAATTGGACATGGACCAATATTTTAACCATTTGCCAAGATAAGGTCAAAATGGATACATGACCTTGGCATAAAGAGAGATA